CATTATTTTAATTCCTGCAAAAAATTCCCATCAGGATGCTACACTATAATGTTCTTAAACAAACCAATGGGTCATTTCCAGTGGGTTTTCTCTAGTCTGGATCATGTTCAAGACACATGTTAATATACAGTTGACCCTTGAACAACGGGGTTAGGGATACCAATCCCCTACACATTCAAAAATCCATGTATAACTTTTCGCTCCTTCAAAACTTAACTACATAATAGTCTACTGTTGACTGGAAGCCTTACCAATAACAAAGACAGTCTATTAACACATATTTTGTATATTATATGTATTATATACTGTATTCACACAATAAAGTAAGGCTAAAGAAAAGAAAATGTGTTCTATATATTGTGACCTTTATATTTTACGCTACATCATTGTGATTCAAATGTTTTGTTTTCCCTATTACTATTAGTATTTTAGTATTTTTAGTACTGTTTTGTTTTGTATTGTTTTGAAGATGTATTTAAGAAACTTCAGTTTCTGAATATTAAAAATAGCTCTATGTTGTTTCTTTAAAAGGAGGATCTGAAAATTTTTATAAATTTTATCTTGGAATTAGTTTATTCATTATGTTTAATTTTAGGAAATGGTGCTCTTGCAGAACATTCTGAAATGTGCATATTTCAGGAGTGTCAACTGGTAAGTCATTTTTTGTAATGTTTAAATTTCATGCATGACTTATATGGTAAAATATTGAAAGCCACCTGGTATCTTATGAAGTGATATTTGGCTATAAAAATTATTACTGCTTTTTGCAGCATGTAATAAGGAATGAAGTAACTGGAACATGGAGAAATTCTCATAAGATAAAATTGATACTTGCATGCCCATGGATTGATTATACTCTTCCAAACAGGACTGCATAATTATTTTTTCATATAAACATTGAACCAAGAGAAAAGTTAGCTCAAGTTGAATTAGTATTTTCTTTCCATACAAAGTTATATGAAATGAAACTTTATAAATGTAATTTGAATGCTATCCCTAGGATTAGAGCCTTAGAAATTAAGCATTTTGCTTGATTTTTAGAGTAGAGTACTACTCTATGTAAAACTATCATACTTGGGTGCACAGCTTATTTGCTATTAAAAGCAACCCAACAACATGCTTGTGTATTGTAATAGTGTATTTCTCATCCATCGATTGACTTCTTTATGCCATCTTGTAATTTGGTTATTTTTTCTTACATGAAGCAAAACTGAAGATTTGCTCTTTTGTGTATAACTTTGTATTCAGAAAGTTAATAGACTTAACAATTACTCTAAGGCTGCTGTTCCCAACACCTGGGCAGTGGACAGTACCAGTCCATGCCTCTAGGAACCGGCTGGCATGTTGCTCCATTGTTCACATCACTGCTGGAGCTCCGCCTCCCTCCCAACCCCCATCCGTGAAAAATTTCATTCCATGAAAGCAGACCCTGGTGCCAAAAAGGTTGAGGACCACTAATCTAGGGTAGTATATGCACTATCAAACACATTATGAGCCTGGTTTTCGTGAAAATGAAAGCATGTGCTCCGTAGCCTGCATAATTCTTTAACAATTTGTTTACTTTTAAAAATATGTTTCAAATGGTATATAATATATAACATCAAGTAAAAATAAGATTTTTTAAAGATGACTCCTTTTTTCTTGTATTTTCAGTAGCTAATGAGAATTATGATTACTTTTCCAGTTGTAACTATGTAGTAAGATTGTTTACAAGACATATTTAATTTTCACAGCAATTGGTACTCTCTAATTCAGTGGTTTCAAATTTTTTGTCTCAGGACCCTTTTTAAGCTTTAAAAACTGTTAAGGACTGTATGGTCGCTTGGGCTGCTATAACAAAATACTACTGGATAGTTTAAAGAACAGATATTAATTTTCTCACAGTTCTAGAGGGCCAGAAGTCCAAGATCAAGGTATTATCAGGGTTAGTTCCTGGTGAGCCTCTCTTCTTGGCTTGTAGATAGCTACTGTCTTGCTGTGCCTTCACATGACTTTCTTCTATGGTGCTCAGAAAAAGAGAGGTCTCTTGTGTCTCTTCCTCCTTACAAGAACATCAGTCCTGTTGATTAGTGCCCCCCCCCGTGACCTCATTTGACCTGTTACCTCCTTAAAGGCTCTATCTCTAGGGAGTTAGGGCTTCAACATAAGGTTTAAGGGAGGCACAATTCAGTTCATATAAGGACTTCAAAGAATTTTTATGGCTGTAGCTACCATATTAACTGTTTTAGAAATTAAAACTGAGAAACTGTTTTAAAACATAATTGAATTAAAATACGAGTGATGAACATATTGCATGTTTACATCAATATGTAATAGTTTCATGAAAAAATAATTTTGTAAAGTCTCTAATTTGGGGGCTGAAAAGAAGATAGTTGGATTCTCATATCTATTTCTGCATTTAGTCTTTTGTACATGTTGTTTTATTTAACATATGTGAAGACAGTCTAGCCTCACACTGATGTAGATGTGAATTGGAAAAAGGAGCATTTAACAGTCTTTTTAGATAACTGTGAATATTCTTCTTTGATACTATCCAGAACTCAACAAGTGTAGTTTATTTAAGGTTAGTGGCAATGTGGAATCTGAAAACATTTCAGTGAACTTTTTGTACTCTGTTACATTAAATCTAATTGGTCTTTCTTGCCCTTTGAATAGATTTTCTTACCATGTATTATTTTATAATATACATTGGTCATTTGCAAAATATTGATTTGCTGAGTTATACAGACTAATAGGTATGAGTAGTTATGGAAATTTGGATATGTCTAGTATTTACTTAAATTTGAATTTTGTGTCACTCATCAAGATTAGATGCTACTTTTATGTTTGCTTGAAATTAGACTACTAGCTCTCGTTGAGTATTGATATTGCCCTTAAATAAATTCCTTGAAAAAAAATCAGCGGTTTAAATTGTCTGTTAAAATGTAAAAGAATGTTTACATTGTAAAATCATTTTCCTTACTTCTGAATTTCAGATATATATTTACAAATGTATTTTAGTTTGCTAGGGCTACTATAACAGAGTGTAACATACTGGATAACTTAAACAACATAAATTTATTTCTTGTGATTTTAGAGGCTAGAATCTGAGATGAAGATTCAGTGGAGTTGGTTTCTCTAAGTTCTCTCTCTTGGCTTGTAGGTGACTATCTTCTAACTGTGTCTTCACATATCTTCCCTCTGTGTATATGTGTCCTCTTATAAGGACATCAGTCATATTCATTAGGGCCCACCCATCTGATCCCATTTTAACTTAAATTACTCTTTAAAGACCCTTTCTCTCCAAATACAGTTACATTCTGAAATATTGGAGTTAGGATTTAATTATACAGTGTGGTGGTGACACATTTAGCCCATAACAAAGTGTGTGTTTTTAATTAAATATATCTGTACATCAGTAAAATACTCCCCATTTCAGAGATCAGTGAAACCTTACTAATGGCTTATTATTTTTCCTGAAGTCGATCTTATAAAATCTTCTTCCGTAGAATGAGAAGCATTATATAGAATCTAATTATATTATTAAACTTTAGCAGAGAATTATTAGATTTCTGTTTTTTTCAGAATAAAGGGACATGAACTATACTGTGTTATTTCTCTTTTTTTCTAATATGAATGAAATTTTTAAAGAAATCTGTGCCTATTTGTGACAAATTTGGTCAGTGCTAAAGTATACAAAACAAGTCTTCCTCTCTGTTTCCAATTCCAGAGGTTTTCCTCCACTGTTTGTGTATATCTTTAACTCATCAACATTTGGATAAATGCATGTGCATATATATGACATGCTTAACATGTGCATATTATAAACTGTAAATACATAATTTTAAAGTTAAAATTAGATCATACTCAGTACTGTTCTAAAACATGTCTAATTTAATGTGTATCTATCCAAGTTAGTACATATAGAATTATTTCATTCAGTTGATTGAATATTTTATTATAAGGATATATCAGTTTATTCATTTGCATGTTGATACAAGTTTAAATTAATTCTTTTTTTACCATAATAAGCATTCCACTAAGCCCTATAAGGAAGATATTGTCTCCATTTTAGGCACAGAGAGATTAGGTAATTTGTCCTAAAATTGCACATCAAGTAAGTAATAAGCTAGAATTAAAATCCTGACAATATAGTCAAGAATCTACAATATTCAGTACTACATTATACTGCTGTTTTTCCTTCTACCTATCTTAACTCTGTTTACCAAATTAGAAAAAAGATTTAATGTATAAAATATATCTAAGCCAGGTGCCATAGCATGTGCCTATGGTCCCAGCTACTCAGGAGGCTGAAATGGTTGGTGGGATTGCTTGAGCCCAAGAGTTCGAGTTCAGCCTGGCAACACAGCAAGACTCCTCTCTCTTAAAAGAAAAAAATCTAGTATTAAAATTCTCCTGAACATAACTTAATATGCTACCTTAGGGATATTGGAAACCTTAGCATCACACATTACGCAGCTATAATGTGTAGTTATGTAATGTAGAAGTAGAAAATTTAAGCCAAAACCTTACTAGTGCTTCTTCAATTTTAATATACATAGAATACAGGAGGATGTTGTTAAAATAAAAATTCAGGTTCAGTAATCTGGGAGGGGCTTGAGTCTGCATTTCTAATAAACTCCCAAGGTGGCCAGTACTACTGTTCTACTTGTGAGTAGCAAGGATTTAGACACTTTATACTGACCTTTGCAAACCTTACTAGTTGTTTTATTGTATTAATTCTGTGTCTTGTTTCTGCTACCTATTTTTGTAAGTAGTTATGTGGTAAAGAAATGGTTAGGGTTTCTCTATGTGTACCATTTAACATTGCTGGGAAAAAGAAATTATGCCTTATGTGGTATTAATGCATAGTACTTAAGATAACTATAATCAGATTTATTTGTATACTTAGTACAGCTTAACACTTATTTCATCATTTCTGTTGTATCATTCTTAATTGAGGGAAGCAGCATTTTTTTTTGTTTTGAAAGATATAGCTGTCTGTAGTTGAAATAAAAATATTGTTTTATCACTTTTATTCTTTAGTAATAATATATTTTACACAGTTACAAAAATGAAGAGCAGTTCAGTGCTGTGTGCCAAGCACTATATCAAGTGTTTAACTGGCATGATTTCATTTTAATCATCATTGCATCCCTCATTTATTCACCTATCAGCTATTTGTGTACCTCCTTTGTTCCAGGAGCTGTGCATACAGTGGTGAGCCAAATAAACACAGATTCTGTTCTATAGCTTACTGCAGTAGGCGGTGCTGTACAATAATCAAACAACCATAGAACTGTGATAGTTGTAAATGAAAAGTTCTTAATTATAATATTTGCTATTTTCTCCACTCACAACCACAAAAGAGAATTCTGCTTTAATCTTTCAAGCTTTTCCCAACTAGTTTCCTCTCCGACTCCACTCCAAGGAGAATTCACTCCACTCTCTGTCTGCCGGGTTCCTGAGCTGTTGTGATGGCAAATCCAACTAATGGGTAGTGAGAGACTTTAGAAGTAACAGTGAGCAGTTTATACAAGAAAGAACAGAAGTAGATGGAAATAATTTATAAAATAAAATGCAAATTTTTAAAAAACATGAATACCTGAAGGGACACAGTTTATATTAATTTGAGGGAATAAATATCCTCAGTACTTTAAATGGAAGTCTTGTAAAACCATACTTTTATTTTATTAGATGATAGTAAGTTATTTGAATCCTTCTATGTGCCCAGTTCTGTGGAATAAAATTATTTATATCAGCAGCTACCAAAGTAGGATATAATTCTGCCCTTGCTCTTAAGACTGTTAGAGTTGTTGGTGAGAAAAAGTTGAAAGATTTAGAAAACAATGCAAGACATTTTTTTTTAAATTTAAAGTACCAACATATGTGGCCCTAACAATAATGATGCTTGCATGTGGCTCACTGGACATGCTTTTAGAGAAATGCTGTTTTTAAAAAGCCATGTTCTCTTTTTTCTAGTAGTAGTAGCAAGTCCCCTTTTGATTATTAATTGATGGAAAATTCTTTCTGGTGTTAATCAGTTCTATATATTTGACCTTTGTATTTTACGCTACATCATTGTGATTTCCAAATGTTTTGTTTTCCCTATTACTATTAGTATTTTAGTATTTTTTAGTACTGTTTTGTTTTAGTATTGTTTTGAAGATTATTTAAGAAACTTCAGTTTCAGAATATTAAAAATAGCTCTATGTTGTTTCTCTTTTAAAAGGAGGATCTGAAAAATTTTTATAAATTTTATCTTGGAAATTAGTTTATTCATTATGTTTAATTTTAGGAAATGGTGCTCTTGCAGAACATTCTGAAAATGTGCATATTTCAGGAGTGTCAACTGGTAAGTCATTTTTTGTAATGTTTAAATTTCATGCATGACTTATATGGTAAATATTGAAAGCCACCTGGTATCTTATGAAGTGATATTTGGCTATAAAAATTATTACTGCTTTTTGCAGCATGTAATAAGGAATGAAGTAACTGGAACATGGAGAAATTCTCATAAGATAAAATTGATACTTGCATGCCCATGGATTGATTATACTCTTCCAAACGGACTGCATAATTATTTTTTCATATAAACATTGAACCAAGAGAAAAGTTAGCTCAAGTTGAATTAGTATTTTCTTTCCATACAAAGTTATATGAAATGAAACTTATTAAAATGTAATTTGAATGCTATCCCTAGGATTAGAGCCTTAGAAATTAAGCATTTTGCTTGATTTTTAGAGTAGAGTACTACTCTATGTAAAACTATCATACTTGGGTGCACAGCTTATTTGCTATTAAAAGCAACCCAACAACATGCTTGTGTATTGTATAGTGTATTTCTCAATCCATCGATTGACTTCTTTATGCCATCTTGTAATTTGGTTATTTTTTCTTACATGAAGCAAAACTGAAGATTTGCTCTTTTGTGTATAACTTTGTATTCAGAAAGTTAATAGACTTAACAATTACTCTAAGGCTGCTGTTCCCAACACCTGGGCAGTGGACCAGTACCAGTCCATGGCCTGCTAGGAACCCGGCTGCAGTTGCTCCCCATTGTTCACATCACTGCTGGAGCTCCGCCTCCCTCCCCAACCCCCATCCGTGAAAAAATTTCATTCCATGAAAGCAGACCCTGGTGCCAAAAAGGTTGAGGACCACTAATCTAAGGGTAGTATATGCACTAGTCAAACACATTAATGAGCCTGGTTTCGTGAAAATGAAAAGCACGTGCCTCCGTAGCCTGCATAATTCTTTAACAATTTGTTTTACTTTTTAAAAATATGTTTTCAAATGGTATATAATTATATACATCAAGTAAAAATAAGATTATTTTAAAGATGACCTCCTTTTTTCTTATATTTTCAGTAGCTAATGAGAATTATGATTACTTTTCCAAGTTGTAACTATGTAGTAAGATTGTTTACAGACATATTTTAATTTTCACAGCCAATTGGTTACTCTCTAATTCAGTGGTTTTCAAAATTTTTTGTCTCAGGACCCTTTTAAGCTTTTAAAAAACTGTTAAGGACTGTATTGGTCTGCTTGGGCTGCTATAACAAAATACTACTGGATAGTTTAAAGAACAGATATTAATTTTCTCACAGTTCTAGAGGCCAGAAGTCCAAGATCAAGGTATTAGCAGGGTTAGTTCCTGGTGAGACCTCTCTTCTTGGCTTATAGATAGCTACTGTCTTGCTGTGCCTTCACATGACCTTTCTTCTATGGTGCTCAGAAAAAGAGAGGTCTCTTGTGTCTCTTCCTCTTACAAGAACATCAGTCCTGTTGGATTAGTGCCCCCCCCCCCGTGACCTCATTTGACCTGTTACCTCCTTAAAGGCTCTGTCTCTAGGGAGTTAGGGCTTCAACATAAGGGTTTTAAGGGAAGGCACAATTCAGTTCATATAAGGACTTCAAAGAATTTTTATGTGGGCTGTAGCTACCAATATTTACTGTTTTAGAAATTAAAACTGAGAAACTGTTTTAAAACATAATTGAATTTAAAATACGAGTGATGAACATATTGCATGTTTACATCAATATGTAATAGTTTCATGAAAAATAATTTTGTAAAGTCTCTAATTTGGGGGCTGAAAAGAAGATAGTTGGATTCTCATATCTATTTCTGCATTTAGTCTTTTGTAACATGTTGTTTTATTTAACATATGTGAAGACAGTCTAGCCTCACACTGATGTAGATGTGTAATTGGAAAAAAGAGGAGCATTTTAACAGTCTTTTTTAGATAACTGTGAATATTCTTCTTTGATACTATACCAGAACTCAACAAGTGGTAGTTTATTTAAGGTTAGTGGCAATGTGGAATCTGAAAACATTTCAGTGAACTTTTTGTACTCTGTTACATTAAAATCTAATTGGTCTTTCTTGCCCTTTGAATAGATTTTCTTACCATGTATTATTTTATAATATACATTGGTCATTTGCAAAATATTGATTTGCTGAGTTATACAGATTAATAGAGTATGAGTAGTTATGGAAATTTGGATATGTCTAGTATTTACTTAAATTTTGAATTTTGTGTCAGCTCATCAAGATTAGATGCTACTTTTATGTTTGCTTGAAATTAGACTACTAGGCTCTCGTTGAGTATTGATATTGCCCTTAAATAAATTCCTTGAAAAAAAAAATCAGCAGTTTAAAAATTGTTCTGTTTAAAATGTAAAAGATGTTTTACATTGTAAAATCATTTTTCCCTACTTCTGAATTTCAGATATATATTTACAAATGTATTTTAGTTTGCTAGGGATACCATAACAGAGTGTAACATACTGGATAACTTAAACAACATAAATTTATTTTCTTATGATTTTAGAGGCTAGAATTCTGAGATGAAGATATCAGTGGAGTTGGTTTCTTCTAAGTTCTCTCTCTTTGGCTTGTAGGTGACTATCTTCTAACTGTGTCTTCACATAGTCTTCCCTCTGTGTATATGGTTGTCCTCTTATAAGGACATCAGTCATATTCAATTAGGGCCCACCCATCTGATCCCATTTTAACTTAATTACCTCTTTAAAGACCCTTTCTCTCCAAATACAGTTACATTCTGAAATATTGGAGTTAGGCTTTAATTTATACAGTGTGGTGGTGACACAATTTAGCCCATAACAAAGTGTGTGTTTTAATTAAATATATCTGTACATCAGTAAAATACTCCCATTTCAGAGATCAGTGAAACCTTACTAATGGCTTATTATTTTTCCTGAAGTCTCATCTTATAAAATCTTTCTTCCGTAGAATGAGAAGCATTATATATGAAATCTAATTATATTATTAAAAAAAATAAATGGATGCTGTCTCAAGGTGCTTTTGGGTACACAGATTCATTGCATTTTTTTATGGCCAGTGTGGAACTATAAATGTAATGTTTAATATAGTATAAGCTTTCTGAAATCCTTGCATCCCCAGTAGAAACTAGGCCCTCTCAGTGCTGGTCTAAATGAAGAACTAGCCTTTGGAAGAATTTCTAAATGTACACCTTGCTCTCTCTTAAGACCAGCAAGCAACAGAAATGGTGAGGCACTTTAGTATGCTGTTATGATACCGGTTTCTTCTGCTCTTCACTGCTCCTTTCTCCTCTGATACTCCATTTACCAGTGCTCAGTGCCCTACTCCAGTCATTGTTTGCACTTTGGAAAATATACTGACAATTTTAGAAAGAATTGTAACTTGTCTACAGTTAGTTTTATCAAGTAATTTATTATCCAAATCAGGACACTTTGAAAGTAAAAGAGTACACTATTTTTAATTATGCTGACAGCACTGACAAAACCAAGGCTATCGTGGACAAATCAGGATATGTGGTCACCCTGTCTTTAAATTAATTCAATTCATTTAGCATGTATGAACTACCTGATATGGACCTGTGCTAAGAAGGGTAGAATTAAGCAATGAGTAAAATATTCTTATCTCAAGGAACTGACCATTTAATGTCAGAAGTAAATGTGTAAAATGCACCTATAATGTGCTATTAATGTACAAAGTCCTATGGTAAGTAATGAGCATGTTAAGTTAGCATATGAATTTATAAAAAGCCTAGTTAGAATATCTCTCAAGCAGAAAATGACTTAAATTAACTTTTCTTATGTTACTAATTAGAACTAGTACTAAGTGCTTAGTTTTGTTTACTCATGAATTTGGGGGGGAACTGTTAATTTCTGATTGATAACATATTTTTGGTTCTTGTGCTTGGAATAATTTGTTTGTGTTTTTAATATTCTATTCATTTCGATCTTCCTTTTCAAATTCTTGCCTAAATACATAAGTATTACCTTTTTACTAGTTCTTATGCTACAGCTTATCAAAAAAATATCATATTTTATTCCAAGGAACTGAAGAAAGAAAAAAGTAAGTGTATCTAGTGGTTATATAATGGTAAAGAATTATTGGATAAGATCTTCTGTTTTATGCTTTTTTCTTTAATTGAGAACTTTCATGGTTTAGAATTTTAATCTCCTTTCACCTATAAATT